CCAGACATTAAGTAACGCTGATGGACAGAAAGTATGAAACAACACCTATGGAGTATTTTTATTAAAAAAAACAAAACTGAACCTGAATCTAATAAAGTTTTCAATTACCAGTCTGCAGGAAACAGAGAACAGGTTACAATAGTGGGTCTCAAACTTGAGAATGAAAATCACTTGGAGAGAACTTATTAAAGCAGTTTGCTGGGAACCAGTGAATTAAAGGAAACTATAAGGAAGCAAACAGCCAATAGAGAATGTGGGAAATTTTACGGGATAAATAATCCAGTTTCAACAACAAATCATACTTAAAGGGGCCAGGGGCCTGTTACAGAGTAATAATTATTTAAGCAACATGACTGCAACTGCAATATGCAGACTCTTAAGATTCTGATTCAAACAAACCAACTATAAAGACATTTTGAGACAATCAAGAAAATTCGAATATAGACTAAGAATAGATATTTAAAAATTCTGTTAATTCTGTAAAGTATAATAGAATAATGTCAATGTTTTAAAAAAAAAACAAAAAACAAACTTTTTTTTACAGTCAAGACTACAGACTTTGCAAAAGCCACATACCACCATACAGGACCACTTTTAAGGAGTTTGAGCCTAAAATGAATAATTTTACACATAAGCATGAGATCATCACAGTAACAACTTCTGGTTCCTGAAAGCCATGAAGTAATCACTGCATTACTTAATATAACTTATCTCTCTGAATTCTTAAAATAACTGAAATGAAGATATTAAATTCTACATACCACTTTGCCTGCTGATCATGATCAGAATTTGCACTTTTTTAAGGATAAAGTATTGAGAACAGTTTGGAGATAGGCAAGAGTGATGGCAAAAGACCAATTAAGTTGTTGCAACAGGTTAAGAATCCCTGCTACAGACAACATGAGCAAATGTTCATGTGTTAGGAATAAAACAAAAATACTGAAACTGTTTTTTGAAAACATGAATTATGTCCTACAGACGTTTAACAATGAAACAACCTTCTTCACCAAATTAAACTTTTTTTCAAGAATTTTACTTTTAAAGCAATCATTTCACACGTACTACAGTTAATGGGTTTACACTTAATTTTTACTTCCACTGGAAAGCAGCCTGATGGGGAAAACATAAAGCAGTATCTTCTAAAATGCACCTTCTTTCCCAAATTCTTTAAGGGACAAAAACAAACTATTGTTTTAATTCTATAAATGACTGAAATAATATCCTCCTGTGATATCCTTCACACTCATCTCCAGCTCAAAAAATATAGATAAAACAAGCTCACAGAAATCTACACAGTGAGGATATCAAGAGTGAAGACTGAAGGGAATGGTGTAACCATAAAAGACAATACTGTATGAAAAGGCTCCTAAGGCTTATCGAAAGTCTCTCCTATCAGGGTCCTATTGCACCTTATCACTACTGGGCCTTGTACTATATTACTTACTCTAGGAACTGACTCTTAGAGACTGAGCTATAAGTTAGTTGCCAATGGTTAATTATGTCCAAGCCTGATTTAACAACTTAAGCTGACTAAAACAACACCAAAAAAAGATTCTAGAAAGGAAAGCATGGTATACTGGAATGAACACTAAATTTTAGTCTACTCAAAAACCTGAGTTACATTAAAAAGATGCTGAACATCATGTTATTTGAAAATGAAATCAAAACCACAGCAAGATATCACTACACCCTCTAGAATAGCTATAATCAAAAAAGACTCAAAAATTGATAATACAGTAAAATTTGTTAAGATTTTTTTACTATGCAAAAAAACTTACTTGCAAAGTGGACTAACAATATCAGGTATTGAAGAGGATGTGGAGCAACTGTAACCTTCATATGTTACTGGTGAAAAGACAAAATGATACAACTTTGGAAAAGTTTGGCCTTTTTTTTTAATCCTCACCCAAGGATATGTTTATTGATTTGAGAGGGGGAGGGGGGAGAGGGAGGGGAAGGGAGACATTGATGTGAGAAACACCAATTGGTTGCCTCCTGTACTCCACCCGGCCAGAAACTGAACCCATAACCATTTGGTGTAACTAAACGATGCTCTAACCAACTGAGCCACCCAGCAGGGACCAGGCAATTTTTTTTTCAAGTTAAGCATATGCCCTGGCTGGCATGCCTCAGTGCTTAGAGTGGCAGCCTGTGCACCTACGAGTCTCGGGTTCAATTCCTGGTCAAGGACACATACCTGGGTTGCAGGACCCAATCCAGTCCGGGCATGAGGCAGTCACTTGATGTGTGTCTCTCACATCAATGTTTCTCTCTCTCTCTCTCTCCCCCCTCTTCCTTCCCCCTTTCCACTCTCTGAAAATCAGTGGAAAAAATATTGAGTGAGGATTTAAAAATAATAATAATAACAATAATAAAGTTAAGTATATGACCCAGCAATCCCGCTCCTAGGTATCCAACCATGAGAACTGAAAACATATGTCCACATAAAGATTTGTACACAAATGTTCATTACAGCCTAAATCTGGAAACCAAAATATCTGCCAACTGGTAAATAAAAAAATTGTGATACACCCATACAATGGAATACTACTCAGCAATAAAATGCAAGGAACTACTGATAAATGCAACAACATGGATGAAATAAAAAACCATCACTCTGTGTTAAAATAAGCCAGACATGCCACTGGCCAGTTTGGCTCAGTGGTTAGAGCATTGGCCCTCAGACCGAAGGGTGGATTCCTGGTCAAGAGCAGGTACCTGGGTTGTGGGTTAGCTCCCACCCAATTGGGGTGTGCGGGGGAGGAAACCAACCACTGTGTGTCTCTCACACCAATGTCTGTTCCTCTCTCCCTCCCTTCCATTCTCTCTCAAAATCAATGGAAAGAAATAGCCTCGGGTGAGGATTAAAAAATAAATAATCCAGACATAAGAGACTATTACATTCATATGAAATTCTAGAAAATTCTAGAAATTCTAGAAAAATCAAAACTTCTGTCATTAGACAAAAAGCAGATCAGTGATTGCCCTAGGTGAGGAGTTAAGACCTGCAAAAGGGCAAGACAGAACTTTCTGGGTGAAGCAAGTGTTCCAAAACTTCATTGGGGTGGTGGGTACATAACTGTATACATATAACAAGTCATAATGTACTTGAAATGGCTCCGTTTTATTGTATGTAAATAGCTCAATGAAGGTGTTTTAAAAAAAGATGTGGGTTAATTAGATCTGCAGGTGACTAGCTGTGACATTAACCAGTTTTCATTTTCTCACATGTACGCTAATACACATTTTATTTTTAAAGCAATCACTTCTTTATTGTACTGCAGTTATTGGGCTTACACATAATTCTTACTTCCACTAGAAAAAGGATCATGTAGTTATCTATACTGCTACTTTTCCTATCTCACAAGGTTGTTGTGAAATACCACAGGAGATAACCACTGAGAAAGTGCTTTGGCAACTCTATAGCAGTATTACACAACTATATAGTTGACTTCACATTTCTGAAAAATAGATATGAAAATGTTTTTTCACAGAAATGACTTGAGACCCTTGGAAACCTGAGTACCCTAAAGTTAGTCTTTGCCCAGAAATAGAAAGCCTGCCTATACAATGGTCATCTTTCTAATATCTTTCCTAAATTACCTTTCTACTGACTCTTGATTTACTGGCTGGCTCAATGCAGTATTATCTAGACTGCACTTTCATTTTTCAAAAAGAAAACACTCAAGAAATGCTTAAAGCCGTTAGACGAGCATGGCAAGACATTTATTTCCCAGTGGAAAAGACCAAAACCTAGAAAACTGTCTTTGATTGAGCACTTTTCCAAGATGTTCACAACCGACATTTTTCTTCCTCTAAAGTCAGTTAAATTTCCTTCCATTTACTACTTCAATTCCACATGTATTACCGAATATTTACTAATGTGACCTCCATTAGCAAGAGTGGGTGAATAATTTTAACACCAAAATTTTTTAAACCAATGTAGCCATTTCACACCTTCACCTGTTATAAAATTTAACAGATTCTCATTTTTTCCTACCACTGCACAACTGGGTTCTCCGCTATCCTATCAGGTATGAGTGATATCTGACATTTAGCCTAGCTATATATACAAGTTTCCACACCGCAACAAGTATGAAGGCTGTTTTGAAAGACAGTCTCCTTCAAATGCAGTTTGGCGACTAAATTTTACCTTGAATTCAGGTTTATAATACATTAAGTCTGACCATTTTTAGAAGTTTTTCTACCGGCAATAGGTTTTGCAACCCAAAATTAAGAAAGCCTGCGGTGTCACAAAATACTTTGCTACCGTTTTCCATTTTTAAAGACTCCTGCTAGTAACAGTTCTAAGAGGATGATTCCAGGATCCATTCTACCGCCATGCTTCATTTGATTCGATCCCGCTTCAGCCTGGTCGGTAGCAACCATCTCTCTTAGGTTTCACCTTTTTCCTTCGATAACATTAAGGCCGCTCAGTCCAGTAACCGAACACCTTCAATTTTAGTTTCCAAGAAACCTGCAAAAAACGGCATCTGGCCCACTCGCTCCTTCAGCCTTCCCTACACCCGGACGGTTGGCCCAAACGTGCAGCTCTCCCCACACCACCGACCAAGTTGGAAAGGAGCACCCAGAGGGCGACTGGTCACGGGGAGGAGGGGAGAACTCCGCCTGGAGGACGGCGGCTGAGGTCCAATCCAGCCCGCGCCCAACTCTCCTTGCCGCCAGAAAAGCGCGAGGGCCCTACGCTCAGGCCGCCGTGCTCGGTGTGGGCAGGCAGAGCTGCGCGTGGCTGCCCAGCGGGACGTAAACAAACCTACCGGGAGAGGAGGGGAGGGCGACCCCGAGTGGGGGTGGGGGAGAGATGAGCTCGCTCCGACCCTCCAGCGGAGGCCCACAGCAGCCCGGCCCCTCCGGCCGCGGCCCGGGTCCCGCTCCCACCGCTCGCTACCGCGCGGGCGTGGACACCAAGGGCCCCAGCCCGTCTGGAATCCCGAGCCACAGGCCATCGGTTCCGCGCCCCCCGCCCCGCAGCGCCCTACCTGAACACGCAATCCGGGTCGCGAGCGTCCCGACCGGGCGCGCCGGACCCGTTCCTCTTGCTGAAGAGCTTCTGGAACAGCGTAGGGGCCATACTGGCCACGGCCAGGCCGGGGTCGCTCCTCAGGGCGCTTGCTAGGGCGCCGCTCTCAGAGCTGCCCTGCCACCCCCATGGGCGCCTCAGTCATATGACAGAAATTAGTCACTTCAAACGGCCACGGCGCGCCGGGCGGAGCGTGAGGCAAGGCCGGCGTTGATTGGCTGGCAGTGAGCCCCGTCACGTGGCGGCGCGCGGAGCAGGGGGTAAGGTGGGGGCGTGGGGCGGAGCTGGCGCCCATAGGGCGGCGAGTGGATTTCCCTCACGTGGCAGCTCACGGGGCGGGGTGTGCGC